GTGCAATCAGCCTCCCCCAAAGTAATAAACGAGACACGGGGCCCTTGGGGGCCCTTGGGGGCCCCTGGGGGCCCTCCTAGCCTTTTAGGGGCCGCAGTAGCAGCAGCAGCAACAACATTATTAGCAGCAGCAGCAGCAGCAGCATGGTGGTACAGCCATCTAGTCTACGCGTTTAAACCCAACTGCTGGGGGCCCCTCTAAGGGGGCCCCTCTCTAAGGGGGCCCCTCTCTAAGGGGGCCCCTCTCTAAGGGGGCCCCTCTAAGGGGGATTTCTACGGGGGCCCCTCCCTTAAAAGAGGGCCCCCTTGGGGGCCCCTTATAAGGGCCCTTATTTGGGGGCCCCTTATAAGGGCCCTTATTTGGGGGCCCCCTTATGAGGGCCCTTATTTGGGGGCCCCATTTCTGGAGCGCCCCTCTCTGGGGGCCCCTTCTTGGGGGCCCCCTTGTAGGGACCCCTTTTTCTGGGGGCCCCCCTCTGGGGGTCCCCCTGTGAGGGCCCCCTTCTAGGGGCCCCTTCCTGGGGGCCCCTTTTTCTGGGGGCCCCCTTATGGGGGCCCCTTCTGGGGACCCCTTTTGGAAGGCCCAGGGGGCCCCCAGGGGGCCTCCAGATTCTTTGCTCTCAGACTCACTACTTAATTTGAAAATCATCTAAATGCCCTTTCATTTATTTATTTATTTCTTCATTTATTTATTTATGATTCATCTATTCATTTGTCCGCCTATTTCTTTATTTTGAAGTGCCTTCAACAAATAAAAGTATAGATATGAAATATAAATAAATCAGAAACAAATAAAATCCAAAATAAAATAACAAATCAATTATTCTTTAATGGTAAATAAGAAGTCAAAGACAACCAAGAAACAAGCCCGTTGTGTAGGGCCCCTAGGGGGCCCCCAGGGGGCCCCCCGGGGCCCCGGGGGCCCCTGTACCCTAGGGGCCCCCCGTGCCCTGTGGGGCCCCTGTACCCTAGGGGCCCCCTGTACTCTAGGGGCCCCTTGTGACAAAGAGGGCCCCCTGGGGGGCCCCCAGTACCCTTTTCAGGGCCTCTGTACAGAACATTTATTCATTTATATATCCCTCTTTTGGGGGGCCCCCCAAAGCCACCAAGTGGGGGGCCCCAGCAACTCTGGGGCCCCCTTTTGAATGGCCCCTATCTCTATGGGGCCGCCGGGGGCCCCCCCTTCAACTGGGGGCCCCCTGGGGGGCCCCAATTAAAAGGCACCTGAGGGGCCCCTTCCTCAATCAAGGGGCCCCCAGGGGCCTGTCCCTCTTGGGGCCCCTTAGGGGCCCCTCCCTGAATTAAAAAGCCCCTTGGGCCTCTCCCTCATTTATGGGGGCTCCCAGAGACCCTAGGGGCCCCTTGCCCAATTGAGGGGGCCCCTAGGGGCCCCCCCATTTTAGGGGGCCCCCTGGGGGCCTCTACCTCATCTTATGGGGCCCCTGTGGGGCCCCTCCCTCAATTAAGGGGCCCCTGGGGGGCCCCTCCCTTTCGAAGGGGCCCCCCAGGGGCCCCCTTGATTTTGGGGGCCCCCTAGGGGCCCCTCTTTAATATGGGGGGCCCCCAGGGGGCCCCCAGATTTGGGGGGCCCCCTAGGGGCCCCTCTTTAATTTGGAGGGCCCCCCAGGGGTGCCCCCAGATTTGGGGGGCCCCCTGGGGACCCCCTTTTAAAAGGGCCCCCTTTTGATAGGCCCCGTTTGGCTGTACAGCTGTATAGAGGCAATAAGAATTATATTTGAATTAAAAATGCATTTTGAAATAAATATATTTGAAGGAAATAAAATGCATTTAAAAACCCTAAACCCTAAACCCTAAACCCTAAACCCTAAAATCCATGAACTCCAAAACCCATAAATACATACACGGACGCGTTAAACACTTTTAGGGTTTAGGGTTTAGGGTTTAGGGTTTAGGATTTATAAGTCACATTTGATTGCACGTCTAAAAGCGCCCATAAATAAATAAATAAATAAATAAGTAGATAATAAATAAATAAATAAATAAAATTAAATAATAAATAAATAAATAAGTGAATAAACAATTTAATAAACCATTTATTTATTATTTATTTATTTATTTATTTATTTATTTATTTAAATTGAAGTTTTTATTTCCGAAGTCTTTTTCCCTATTGAAGGCGAAACCACCAGGCGAGGCCGAACTCCCCCTGAAGACAAAATAAATAAATAAATAAATAAATAAATAAATAAATAAATAAATAAATAAATAAATAAATATAATTAATTAATTAATTAATTAAATGATTATAAGACAGATAAGAAAGTGAAAAAGATATCGGCAGCAGGCGCGCCGCTG